AGGCACAGCAATAGTCGATTTTAGGAAGAATAGAAGAAAGATAGATTCGACGCCGAATTTCAGTTGGAGCTAATCCAAAGACACGATTCAATGCTCCGAGCTTGCGCCGACAAGCAAGAGCAATGTCTTTGGCATGATCGTTCCACCTAAGATCGTGCGAAACAAGAACACCAGGACAACGTACAGAAGACACAACAGAAAGAGGAACACCGTTGAGATACAATTGATTATAAACGTACGGAAATATGTTGAAAGAGACCAGCGACGATATCGTCTAGAACGTTTTAAAAAAAAGGAAGACACATTGAGAAACAAGTTAAGCTCGAAATTAAATAGGAGTTCGGAGATACTTGACAAGTCATTGTGTTTCCTACGCTGTTAAAGTTTACGATCGATGACCTCCCCATCGATCATAACAATACCATTCATAACACGATAATGACACACTTTTACCGTGACTTTTTGATAGTTTTGCCGTTATTTTTCTTTACAGTGCAGTCAAGAGAATAAATGTAATATAAAACCGTTCTTTGCGTGTGCAGCACGTGGCTCTTTCGTTCCGATGTAAACATCAAGCAAGAAAAATTAATAGAACGAAGGAAATCATTGTATTCAGTGCTAGGATCAACGAGAACTGACGTAGATATAGTCTCTCCTTGAAACTCTGGAGCTAAAAGAAGACAACGATTGGCTATATATATATATATACAATATATATATGGCAGATAGAATACAGAATTGGTCGAATGTTTATTCAATGAAAAGAGAGAAAGAAAAGAATATTATCATCGGTGGCCATTTTTGGCAGGCAACTTCTTTCATCTAACTGTGCTCTGTAAACAATTGTATCGTCGTTTTTTCCAATATTTCAAGTTCTCCAGTGATCTTCAGTCGTCTTATTCATTAGAATGGTTGTAAAGTAACTATGACGAACAGCTTGATATGCTGTAATGCCATGCGAAATATAAATCCCTTTTAAAATGTTTTCTCTTTATTCGGGTCAGATGTCCGGACTTTGATTGAAACGAAATACTTTCAAACAGTTCCATTTACTCTGTATAGAAATAAATTACGACAAAATCTAACTAAATATATCGTGTATAATACTAGAAGATGAGTGGGAGGTTGGCTTTTGTGTAATATTCAATAGAATGACCGTAGAATTTTAGCAAATGTCTACAAGAAAAATTATTTATATAAAGTGAAAACCTAAGGACTTTTGTCTCTAGATATTAGAAAGAAAAATGATGAGAAAAAAATTGTTTGTCGTGTGACAGAAGAGTTCTTTGCCAGACATTCTGAGAAAAAACAGGATGTACAGCTAGAAAATCTTACTAAAAAAATGAAGCACAAAAGTTCGGACGTCTTATCCTGTGGGATAATACGTAATTATATTTTTCTTTGAACTGTACCTTATTCGTCGAATTTAGATAAAATCAATAATAAAAAAATGGTTTTATTAGTGTCCTCTCTCGACAAATATTTCTCGTTTTTGGACAAAATTGAACCAAACAGATTATTGATTGCATTGATCTCTTTTGGATGGGCTGTATCATTATGGGAACATTATTTATCGTACAGACAGGTTAGTCGTACTTACATTATTTTTTCAATTTAGTTTCTATATTTTTTTCTATATTTAGTACATGAATTATAAACAGCCTAGAAATGTACCATTAGAATTAGAAGATTTGATGACTGAAGAAGAATTACAAAAAGCAAGATCATATGCTATTGATAAAATTCAGTATAATGAAATTCACTCATTTGTCTCCGAAATAGAAACAACGGTAATTCAAAATCGGGGCAAATCTCAGCTTGAAATAACACTTGAAATAACATTTTTTTCTTTAGCTTTTACTAGTATTTGGGATACTACCGTGGTTATGGAACAACTGTGACAATATATTAGTAAAATATGATTATATTAATTGTGAAGTAAGCTATTTGCCTTCTTTTGTAACGAGTAAACGTTTGCGCTTTAAATTTTCAGTTAATAACATTTCATTCAGATATTACAATCAGTTCTGTTCCTTTGTATTATGATAATATACTCATCCATCACAAATATACCATGGTGTTATTATTATAATTTTGTTCTTGAAGAGCGACATGGGTTTAACAAACAGGTAAAACAAAGAATATTGATGATTATGTCAGTTTCAATTAAACTGTTTTTTCTTTTATGATTGGAGACTATTCTGTTTTATATCAGAGACACTATTAAAAAATTGATTGTTTCACTCGTATTGAGTATAACTATTGCTGCATTACTCATTAATATAATCAAAATTGGTGGTGATTATTTTTTTATTTATGCGTGGTTGTTTTTAACCATAATCGCATTGGTATATATACATAGAACATCTTTGTCTTCCTTTAATTAATTTTCATTTATTTTCACTTAGACTATTGCTGTTCTCTATCCAAATTATATTGCACCATTATTCGATCATTATGATACACTACAACATGGAACATTAAGAGAAAGTATTGAAAACTTAGCAGCAAAAATCAATTTTCCATTGACCAAAATCTATGTTGTTAAAGGTTTGTTCTCTGTTTCATTGTTTCTCTCTACATGCAAGTTTCATTTCACTAATAACGTCGTAACAGAGAAATAATTCGATTTTAGGCTCAATAAAAAGTGCACATAGTAACGCTTATTTCTATGGATTTTTCAAAGCCAAACGTATTGTTATATCCGATACACTAATAAAAGGTTATGTAATGAAAGGTGATAACGACAAAAAAAAAGTAAGTTGACATTTTTATTATTCCTTTAGCATACATAATACTATATATCTGTCTATTTTTTCAGGATAACTTGAATTTTGACACTGCATCCAAATCCAATGTTAGTAGAGACAACTTAATATTAAAAGAACTATCCGAATCTATTATTCAAAGAAAAGTTGGTATTATTTTGGCAGATAAGACTAGTGAAGAAATTACGCCATTAAAAAGTACAACGAATCCAATAGCACAAGAAAAGGGTTGTGAAATAGATGAGGTATTAGCCGTACTTGCTCACGAATTCGGTAAATAGTTGAAAGATATGTGGCAACGGGTTGTAGCATTATGAACTGATTTTTTTTTTGTGTTGTTATAGGTCACTGGAAATTAAACCATAATGTGTTCAATCTATCCATCTCATTTGTATGTAAAAAGTCTTGCTTACTTGTCGAAGAGTCTTCTAATCGGTACTTCACTTTTGTTTCAGTTAAATTTACTCTTTGTTTTTGTTGTCTTTGCTGCTCTATTTAAACGTTCCGTATTATATCGTTCATTTGGTTTTGAAGAAAGTTGTCCAATATTAATCGGTTTACTTATCATATTTCAATACGTATTATCACCCTATTTCGAAGTAAGTGAAAACTAGTCTCCTTTGGAAAAGTACAATTGATTGGATGAAGATTTGAGAAAACTGACGATTTTCAAATCTGTTTCCTTTTTTTGAATTATTGCTATCATTTCTCAGATATTCGTAAAATATAGAACCCTATAAATGTAGAAAAATAAATAGCGCAATAAGGTTTACCACAGTCCAAAAAGGGAAGAGACATTAGACAACTTACATTGAATTTGAATTTTTTTTTGAAAAATTTCATCCATATCATTACGTTTTTGCAAGAAAGACTTTTCATCAGTCTACAGATTACTCCTGTAATTCTCCTCATATTTTGCTAAATATTATTATCATTTAACTTTTTAGTCATTTTCATTTTTCATGACGGTATTATCACGACGTTTTGAATTTCAAGCTGATCGTTTTGCATCAAAATTTCATCAAGCTACGCCGTTATGCCGTGCATTAAAAAGATTAGAAAAAGATAATTTATCTTATCCATATTCCGATTCATTATACGCCATGTATCATTATTCACATCCGGTATTACTAGAGCGTTTAAAAGCTCTAAAAAAAACTCAATAAATTTATCAAGTTTTCATTCATTTGGTTTAATTTTTTTATCATTTTATTCGTCTATTATCTATTGAAGTAAAAAACAGACATGTTTTGTCAGTTTGATTTCTTACTACAGAGTATTCCATGTATATATGAAAATACGTATGTATTGTACATCGATTAAATCAAACGTTTTTTTCTTGTGTTGTTATTGTTCATTAAATGAAAGACAACTTTATTTGTTTGTTCCAGAGCGAAATTTCTTCGAATAGTCAGTTTTTTCTTTTTTATTGTATGAAGCATAGAAATCGTCTCTGTAGTCCTACTCAGGTACGTTAAAGCTCATATCAAAATATTGGTACAAATCTATTTTTATTTTGTTGAATTAAAGACATCTTTATTTTATTTGTTTCTTTTTTTGAATTCTAATGCATGGATAAAAAAAAATGCGAAATTAAATTAAAATCTTGTCTACATAATGTTTCTCTAATAGATATGGCATAGTTCGTTGGTAACTATAAGGAAAGGATGATTTTAATTAAAAATTTCATCATACACTTGAGAAATCTTTTCTAGGAATGTTGACTGCGTGTAAAAGCAAGTTTTGTCCTTTATGAGGCTCTCTGGTGTGAACAAAGATGAAGTTTGGATATATCTAGGTGTTTATCCTACTCTATGAAAATTTTCAAAGTTGTACCGCAGTTGAGTCTTAGTTTTATTCTATTTTCATTTAAATATTTCATTAAATTTGATTCGGATACAATTAGTCAGTTTTTCCCGTCCATGATTGTTATTTTAATGTAAGCAACATTCTGTACGCATCTGGTCGAAAGTTTGATATTGATCGATAGTAATTAGGAACGAAGGATTCTTTTTTAAAACCCAATTTTTCATATAATCGAATCGCTTTAATGTTTGAACATTCTGTATGTAAAAAAATGAAATTACAATGATCACGTTTTGTATATTGAATAATGATGTCTAACAATTTTGTTCCAATACCTATTCCTTGATAAGACTTTTTAACTCCAAATAAAATCAAATATAAAGCCTGTGAATTATCAAACAAACGTTTTGTGGCTAAAACAGCGGCAATCATTTCATTTTCAATATAGACACACCATGTATGATCAGACTAAAATAGAAATAGTTCTATTTTAAAATGTTGAAGAACGACAACATAATTTTGATTGTTCACCATATTAATCAAAACTGGAAAACTATATGCATTACCAAACAATGGTAAAAAAATTTCTTCCAACTGCCATGGAGCAAAATTAGTATTATGATAAACATTTACAATAGTTGTATTATTATACATATTGGTTATTTGTTGTTCAATATCATTATCGTTATTTGTTATGTGACGTGAAGGATTCATCTTTTTATTATCGTCATAATCTTCCAGTCGATTATGATAGTTTTGTTGCTCATTAAACTGCACAACATACGGTTTGTACATTCCTAATCCCATTCGACATTTGAAGCAAAAATTTTATGGAAATAAAAATTGATCAGTTAGAAACATTGTAAGTAAATTTTTGTCAAAAACGTGCACCTTTACCATTACAAGACTAAAACACATATCTTTCAAACGAAAATACCTGAGGAAATATAATGGCGCTCCTTTATTTTGTGCACTGTGTGAGATATTGTCTCTTTCAAGTTTGATAATCTATGCTTTCTACCCCTAGTGAAACTTCTTCTAACCAAGATCTTGACTTCTTGAATTTTTTCAATAAGTTCTTGATTCAAGATCTTGGTAAGAAAATATAAGAATTCAAAAAATTTCAAGAAGTCAAGATCTTGAACATCTTGTAATTTCTTGACTTCTTGTACTAAGATCTTGGAAATTCTTGAATTATCGTTTTGTTTAACACCCTTGTGTAAATATAAATGCGAATATTTTCACACTTAGAATAACTTAGAATTTTTTTCCTTCTTCACCATTGTTGTTTAAGGAAGAATCTATGACTCTTTATGCTCGTGTATCCAATGGCTATGACTATCATAAATAAAAACAAAATGTAAAGAAAATTTTTTACTCAAGCTCTTGCAACATCTTGAGTGGCTTCACTCAAGATCTTTAAATTTCTGTTCCCAAGATCTTGAGTAAAAGATTCAAGAATCCAAGATCTTGACTTCTTGGTGTCTTAACCAAGATTTTATGACATTTCTTAATCCAAGATTCTGGGTACAAGAAGTTTCACTAGGGACGCTTCTTCTCAATTTCAAGACTTCAAATATTTTACATAAAAACATAAACTTATTTGCTGTTTCTCTCTCAGACTAAGTGCATGATGCGATCTGATCTATCATCATTTATTCGCACTATTTTCACAAGAAATTCGAATGTATTGGATTACTGTTGTCCTTATCAGGTGGAAAGTGAATGCGGATGAAAATGAGGAATGTTTGCTTGCTTAAGTAATCTATCTTTCTAGTACTTTTTGTAACATTAAGAACAGTTTTATTGCACATAATAATTAAATGAGATCTGCTCAGTCGTCCGATTCTTCTTATTTCACTTTATTATAGATGATTAAACGTTCTTAATGGCCTCTATTATGGATGAAGACGAAAAACAACAACAAAATTTAACTGACACTGTTTTAGCACGTAAAAATGCTGAATTAAAAGTTGAACGATTTTTAGAGCTTACTCATTCTCATCTGAATCGTTTACCACTATTAAAACGCCAATTGAATGATATAAATCGTTTACAAAAATTTGATTTGTACGTATCAAAATTAAACGATATTGACAAAATTATTTATGAATTAGTACAATGTATACGTAACATTGAATTGTTTCAACAACATTTGAGTGTACATGATCGAGAGAAACTAGATCGTCAAATCCATTTGTTACGTTCACAAATTGATCGTGAAGTCAATGACTTTCATACGTTGAGAGAAGAAGCATCAAACAATATTAATGAAGTTACCGAACAGCAAGAACAACAAGAACAACAGCAAGAGCAGTTAGTAATAACATCATCGGAAGGCGAACAAACACTTCGTCATCGTCATCCGTTACAGTCAGATGAACAACAACGTCTAACAGAGTCTTATGACATGTTAGAACAGGATCTTCAAACTTTAAAAGAAACATTTAACGAAGTAGCTCTTCTTGTACAAAAACAAAAATATTCAGTTGACAATACACAAAATATTTTGAATACGGCAACAGCAAGAATTAAAAGTGCATCGTCATTGTTACATAAAGCTGTTCAAAATCGTTATGTAACAATTGCGTCGGGAGCTTGTCTCGGTTCACTTGTTGGAGGACCGGTGGGTTTTATGGCAGGAATAAAAATCGGTGCATTAGCCGCGATGACTGGATCAGCGTTGGGTGCTCTATCCGTTAATTTGATCCGAAAACGTTATGTTAGTGAACAGAACAATTCTATGAATGAATCGCAAGCTTATGACCAAGCTATGCTATAAGCACTTCACAATGCTTTTTATAGAAGTGTAAGATCTTTTTGTACATAGTTTACTGTTAATATCTTATTGTACAAAAGGTGAATTTTTTTTTCTATTTTTTTTTCTATATATATATCACTTTATTTAAATGAAAAAGGGTCATTTTGAATGAATAAAAACGATACATGTCAATTTAGTCGTTTATTAAACATACAGATCGTCCCGCACTGGCCTGCTGAAGTCTGGATTAAAGCCAGAACTTTTCTACACCTTTGTTTATTTTGTTAGGGCTGTAATGTAGACTTTAGAGAGAAAAATAAACCTTAGAATTTGCCATGTAAATCGTGAACTTACAACTATGTTATAAACTCAGAATTACTCACTAACATCGATAGGAAGAAATTTTAATGCTCAAAAATAATAGCAAAGAAAATTTTGGTTAAAATAATTTTTTGAAAACACATACAGACTTGAGAGACAACGTTCTAAGTATCTCACTTGAAGTAATAAAAGCTTTTCTGGTCTTCTCGTCAGCAGCACTCCGAGAAGGATGGATCCTTTGGAATACGAGTACTTCAACGTATTTGACGCAAGTGAGAAACAGACTTTTCGCTGTCTTGCGTGCACTCAAATTTGGGGTGATGGACAAGAGAGGGAGTTTGAATCTGTTCCTGCCATTCTCTTTTTCTCTTTCAGTTTTTTTTAGTTTGATTAAAACATCCGCATACGCAGAATCAGAATTCTATTATTAGCTACTAGAAACAGTTTCATAGTGTACATGTGGAGGAAAAGGTGTCACCGTATGAAGTTTTATTGAAAAAAGATATTCTCTGTTCTTGCCGCCCAGTTTCCACACGTTTCAGTGTATCGCTGGATAAACGATTTTGTTGTTCATAAGGGGCCAACAAACCGATTGTGTGTTAAGACTTCCGCTTGCCTCTTATTTTAGCAGAAAAATACGAATTCGATTTTATCAAATATTCGTACAAAAAGCTCGAGTCCGCCGAACAGTCAAGCTATTCGAGGAGAAAAGCGTGTGAAATTTTCGATGTACACAAAAGCAGCAACAACTCTCGCTTTAAACTAAAGAGATAGACACATAGCCCAGAGTTGTAACCGGTCTAGAAATACTAGACCGATCCGGTCGGTCTAAAAATATTTCCAGACCAATAAAAACCGGCGAGTTCATCAAGTTTTTTCAGGTAATAAAATTGATATTACGGGCAAAATTTTGTTTTGAATACCTAGAGAAATTTGGGAAGAGATTCACTATGTCAAATAACAAAGCCAATTAGGACGAATTTGCATCTCAGTTAGGAAGCTACGGTATCGGCATATCGAAAGTAAAAAATTGGATTAATATCAAAGAAAAAAGATAAACGCCCAATACATGACAATGTTCCGATTGCTAAGATATTTTAAACACTAAATAATATGACTTTGTCGTTGAAAACAAATTGAAAGGATAAAAAAAATAGAATTTACATTTTAAATAAAATTGTCGCTCTTTCTTTTAAAAAAACTACTAAGCAGATGTCATAATGCATAATGTCTTCCTGATGAAAAATGAACGAATATGCACAACTTTGTGGAACCGGTCGGTCCAAGTGACTCAACCAGTCCGGTTACAACTCTGACATAGCCTATACATCGCTGATAAACACATTCTAGTCCAAGTAATCGAAGCCGTGTTCGAACATTTGACCTTCCTCCATCTTTAACTTTAAAAACGGGCACTCCACAGACTGTTTAGTACTCACAGCAGTTTCTGGCATTTACAGCACTAGTGCTGCTTTTTCTCGGAGCAATCATATTCATTCTTCTAGACAGCCCATTCAACATCTTTTTATCGTTTATTTGAACATAATTGATGCGGAAACGACCTAGTTTTCTTCAAATATTCAGCTGATCTTCTTTCGCTTTCCGTAAAATTACTCCATTAGTTTTATTTCTTACACGTATAAAGAATTACATTTGAAAAAGTCTAGATATTCGACAAAAAACTGTAAAAAGCGTATGACAACATTATACAAACAACAAGTTTTTTCTTCCTGATGGTTCAAAAAAAGAAGAAAAATGTTCATAATACTTGTATTGAATTCACTTCTAATATTCCTCTCCTTCGCCTTCACCCTCACCTTCGACTGAATCAACACCGACCTCTTCATAATCCTAAATAGACAAACGATATTATTTACTTGAAACAAATAGCAAAAATCAGACTTACTTTTTCCAATGCAGCTAAATCTTCACGCGCTTCACTAAATTCACCTTCTTCCATACCTTCACCTACGTACCAGTGCACGAAAGCACGTTTAGCATACATTAAATCAAATTTGTGATCGAGACGAGCCCATGCTTCAGCGATAGCAGTTGTATTTGATAACATACAAACAGCTCGTTGAACTTTAGCCAAATCACCGCCTGGTACAACTGTTGGTGGTTGATAATTAATACCAACTTTGAAACCTGTTGGACACCAATCAACAAACTGAATTGTTCGTTTTGTTTTTATTGTGGCAATGGCAGCTAAAATTAATAGAATAATTAGAAAACTGAGAAAATCAAATCAAATACTTCCAACTTACCATTGACATCTTTTGGAACAACATCACCACGATATAATAAACAACATGCCATATATTTTCCATGTCGTGGATCACATTTAACCATTTGATTTGCTGGTTCGAAAACGGCTAGAAAAAAAGAGAATTATTACTTGCCGAACCAATTTTATCAACTTTAAACATACCATTTGTTATTTCAGCTACCGTTAATTGTTCATGGTATGCTTTTTCGGCTGAGATAATTGGTGCGTATGTAGCAAGCGGAAAATGAATACGTGGATATGGTACAAGATTTGTTTGAAATTCAGTTAAATCAACATTCAATGCACCATCAAAACGTAACGACGCTGTTATTGAGCTGACAATTTGTGCAATTAAACGATTTAAATTTGTATACGTTGGTCGTTCAATATCCAAGTTTCGACGACAGATATCGTAAATAGCTTCATTATCAACCATGAATGCACAATCCGAATGTTCTAATGTTGTGTGTGTTGTCAAAATTGAATTGTATGGTTCAACAACGGCTGTTGAGATTTGTGGTGCTGGATAAACAGCAAATCTAGACAAAAACATACATATAGATCGACTCACATGCGTAAAATCGAATAAAAACTTACTCGAGTTTTGACTTTTTGCCATAATCAACACTTAATCGTTCCATTAACAATGAGGTAAATCCTGAACCAGTACCACCTAAAGAAAAAATACCATTTTTTTTAAAGCTCAAATCTGTAAAGCATAAACCCCTCCTAATCAGTTTTAGTTAGTCACATCCTAAGGTAAATATAATTCTAGATTCATTAAAAAATGTTGTACTTACCACCAAATGAATGAAAAATTAAAAATCCTTGAAGGCCAGTACACTGATCAGCTAATTTTCGAATACGATCCAATACAAGATCAACAATTTCTTTTCCAATTGTGTAATGTCCTCGAGCATAGTTGTTAGCTATGAAAAGAGAAGATAAATTAAGTCCTGTTGAAATAGATAATTTTATATTTTAGACCTACCAGCATCTTCTTTTCCCGTAATCAGTTGTTCTGGATGAAATAGTTGACGATATGTTCCAGTACGTACTTCATCTGAAAGATAGAAATAAAATTAGTATACCATTGTAATAGACTGTTCGTTAGCTTCCTTACCAATGACGGTTGGTTCGAGATCAACGAAAACAGCACGTGGTACATGTTTACCAGCGCCAGTTTCTGAGAAAAATGTGTTGAACGAATCATCACCACCACCAATTGTTTTATCTGACGGCATCTGACCATCGGGTTGTATACCGTGTTCTAAACAATACAATTCCCAACAAGCATTGCCAATTTGAACACCAGCTTGACCAACATGAATCGAAATACACTCTCGCATCTTTGATTTCTAAAAGAAAAACAAAATTGTCTACTTGTATAAACGTTGTCTTTGTATTTATTGAGATCTGTTAACACGTCTATCTGATTGAGAGTCCGTTCTAAGGTCAAAACTCATTTTAAACTTCTGTTAGATTTGATTATACTTACATTTTAAAAATATTTATTGGTAAAAACTATGTATATGTTTAACAGGAAATGTCACCGCCTTTTGCTGTTACAGCACACTGTTTTTGAATCGTCTAGTTCGTATCTAGAACAATACAGAGTGAAATATATTTTAACAGTGTTTTTCGTTTAAATACGATATAGAAATGAGAAAGAAAAGTAGTACAGCAGTGGAAACGAGAGAGAAGTGTGTTGTTGCTGCGTTGCTCTCAAACAAAAAAAAAGAGAAAGAAGCCAGCTATAAGAGAAAAAGGCATGTAACCGGGACAACATTTGTTTCTTCCGTTTCTTCCATTATCGCGATGACGACGTACGGCAGAGTGAGTGAAAGGTGATGAACTGTGCGATATGCCTATTTATTATAGACTATCCTGTAGTAGAAAAGAAAAAATGTTTTTCCTTTCCACGTCTACACATTTCGATTATTGATTCAAAGAAAAAGAGCATAAAAAAAAATCGGTGAAAGTTGATTGATGATCTTGAACTGTGGAATAAAAAGAACCAAATTGATACAGGAATTTAAAATTATATAATAAAAAATATCAACAGTTCACAATAGATAGAGAAAGACAAATTATGAAATTTAGAATGTGAAGAAACTCGAATAGTTACTCG